GCTGCCCTATCAAAACACAACACTGATCTCCTGCAACCCCAGGGACAGCTTAAAGCAGCTGTACAAAACCTTCTCATCCCTCTTCCAGCTGTCCAAACCCTGTCTGAAGGCACAGACATTCACACTGGTTCCCTTTGGACTCTACCTCACCTCTGGGCAGGGTCATGTCTGTTCCACCTTTGGTGAAATCAAGCCCACCTGAGTGTCCAGCATCCCATCTAAGTGCCCAGCATCCCACAGGAGTGCCCTAAATCCCACGTGAGTGCCCAGCATCCCTCTGAGTGTTCTGCATCCTACCTGAGTGTCCAGCATTCCTTCTGCCATAGGGAATGCGGTTGAGGCTGAGGAAGTAACCATCCTCTGTCATCACACTGTACTCCTCACTGGGATACCCATGGAATCGGATCTTCTGGCTCTGCAAGGACAGTGGTGCAAAGGGACAGGGTGACCCGTCATGCCTGACCTCAGTGACACGCACCTATGGTGTCACCTCCATCTCAAGTTGCCTCTACATTACATGAAGAGCAGGGAAAGACCAAGCTTAAGCTAAGGGCATGGAGTGAGGGACACCCATGCAATTCTTTTTGATGCCCCAAGCTCCCCAGTTGACTCCAGGTACAGATGTCATGGTCAGGGAGCCCATGTGGTCCCTCAGGAAGAACTTCAGGGACACTCCCAAGGAAGCCAAGGTCCCAGAGGTTTGTGTTTGCCCTTCCAACACTTACAATGTTCATGAACATCTCAGGGTTGTTATGCTTTTCTTCAACAGGTGGGATGGCATTGCCCATCACCTGGGTCAGGCACAGAGCCACCAGCAGCATCCACATCTCACCCCTCCACAGCACCTGGGAGATAATAGTGTTGGTGTGAGCAGAGTGTGCTGGAGGCATGGGGAAACACAATCAAATCCTGATGCAACATGGAGCAGATGTTTCCATCCCTCTGGGGTCTCCATCTCCATCTCAGCCTCCCATTCCCAGCAGGAGTGTCTCCAGCAGTCATGGTTTTGTCTAGCTGAGGTGGACCCATGAGCAGCATCCAGGAGAAAAGCAGGTGGAGGAAAACAAGCACAACCAGCTTGTCTCATGGGACAATCACCCCTGAGCCAGCAATTAGTGCATTAAGAGCCTGTGTTTCCCAGCTCCTGTGCAGTCTGAGGTCCCACCCAGGTGGAACTCTCCCATATCACTCATGGCTGAGATATTGAACCTCTTTAGGTCCTCTTTCCATCTGGGAAAAATGGGAGAGTCACTACAGGAGCTGCACAAGGTCCAGGAAGGACAACAAGGAGCTCAAGGAATGAGTGTCCCAGTGGAGAATCAGCCCAGCACAAGACAGAATGGGGCACAAAGGGCTCATGACTCCTTTGGGATATCACCAGTGAGCAGAACATCTCCTCTGTCACTGCAAAATACCTTTGGCTTGGATGGACATATGTTTGTTGTGAATTGTTGTTTGGGCTTCCTCCTATGTCTAAATGCTCCCATGAAGGAGAAGGATGTGACACTCGGTTTAATGGCAGAGCCTTTGGGTGCCATTCCTCATACCCAACCAAGGTCTTGGAGGAACCAGGTTGGTTCCATAACAGCTATATAGAGGTAGCTCCAGGGCAGCTCAGACCATGTTGCCAGCTCAGCTGAGAACATGATGAAACCAACCCTCTTGTGACACATCTGCCCCTAGAGTCCTCCCCAGCCCCTCCACTGCTTCCCTGGACAACTCAAGGCTTCCAGCACATGACCACAGCATTTTGGCTCCTTGTCAAGACAGCAAGTCATGGCTTGGTCTTCCAGGAGCCCATGAGCCCTGAGACAAAGGCACATTCAGTGTCCTTTGATATAGGACCAGGTTTGTTAAGGCTAGAAGCCACCTGTGGCCACCAGTAACTTGTGGGAAGGTGGCACCACAGAAGGCGGACAGGTGGAGGGTACCACACAATGTTTGCAGCTGGAAAAGGAGGGAAGATGACACAGGGTAGGCATCAGCTCATCCTCAGGGCACGTCACTGGGACAGGGTATGAGGGAAGACTGTGTTTGAGAACCATCAGCATGGCTCCCTCCAAGGCAGACAGAAGGCTCAACAAGAGAAGAGACCTTGTCCATTGCATAAAGATGGGCTGGAAAGAGCTCCTGCGTCTGGTTGTGGTTCAAAGACCAATGCATCCCATAAAATCTGGATCCCAGCCTTTTACCAACCCAAAGCTGCTGTTCCACTATCACTTCGAGCATCAGCGACAGCCTCCAGCAGGAGATATGGTGAGAACCTTCTCCCTCAGCATCCCCACCACTATAGATTGCATATTCAACACTAATTAACAACACCCTGAGGTCTTAATCTGATCCTTTCCACCACCCCAGAGCCTGCAATGGCTGTGGAGATGCTCTCCAGAGCCTTCCCCTCCCTACTCCAGCTCACAGCCTTCAAGCTGTGACTCTCTGCAGGGTTCACACTCCATTCTAGTGTCACCTGCTGACCCCAGTGCAGATGCAGACTCCAGAGCTGCACAAAGCTCTGCAGACTGCCCTGCACAGACCTTCTTCTTGCAGGAGATCCCCAGAACACACCAAGGTGCAGCAAAGCCAACTACCACCAGGCTTCAGGCAGGGACACTCCCCACCAAGGGCAGCTGGTAGAAAGGAGTTATTAGACCAGCTCTGCCTTTGGTCCCTGTGTTCTCATAAGCAGCTTTTGACCTCTAGACTCACCTTCATCTACCTCAGTGGCTTGCAGAGAACGTGACAAGCCTTCCAAGGTCCTTCAGATGTCCTTCCTCCGACACCCTGGCCAGAAATGGTCCCCTCTGTGCCTCTCTGGCCAAGCTGTGAACCCACAGCTCTCTTTACTCCTACTCCCCCTTATTTCTCCAGCCCCTGTCCCACCCCTTGGACAGGCTTGGCCACTTGTTAGGTATGATAAGCCCACACCTGGCCCAATGGTTCACCTCAAGCCAGAGATGTGTTGCACATACAAGCCCTGGGAGAGGATTATTCCCTCTGCTTGGCACTGAGGAGGCCAAACCATGAGGCAGAATCTGGGTTTGGGTTCCCAGAGACTAGTGAGACACCCCCACAGTGGTGTGAGCCCAGAGATGGTGGGTGGAGGACAAGGTGTGTGAGGAGAGGTTGGGTGAGCTGGGCTTGCTCAACAAGACCTAATGGCTTGTTTCCAAAGGGATTTTGGAGACTCCAGGGCTCAGAGAGGCACAGTGAGAGCTCCAGGGACACCAGCACAGCTGCAGCATGAGAAACCCCAGTTGACCCCAAGCAAAAAGCTCATCCCCATGCAAGTGGGGTAGTTCTGGGACCAGAGGTGGTAGAGGATCCCTCAGCTTGAAGGAAGGTGTTACTGACTAAACAGTCTCACACTCAGTTCATAGGTTCATAGATCCTTAAGGGGTTGGAATGGAGCTTAGAGATCATCTCATCCCAACCCCCTGCCCTGGGCATGGACACCTCCCACCAGAGCAGGTTGCCTAAGGCTTTATCCAACCTGGTTTTGAAGTCATTCAAGGTTCAGTGGGTTTCCTGGCAGAGCCAGAAAATCTCTCACTGACTCAAGTCCTCAGTTTTTCCTCTCATCCATGGCAGCAATGTGTTCTCACAAGTCTCTCTTGGCATGTTCTTCATGAGCACTTCATGAACCTTTGCTTTGCTGCTCAGGCATGAAATGCTCCTCCACAACTTCAGAGGGTAGGATCAGTGGAATGCAGTGACCATGACTCCCCTAAGGCTGTGTACGCACCTCAGGTTCATCCCAGTATTGTTGATATCTCCATACTAAGCTACTCCAACTGCAGGAGGTTTTATAAGTGCTACTGTCAAATTGGTGTCACCAAAACAGACTGTTTCAGTTGGAAGAGACCTTCAAAGACCATCCAACAACTGCCCAACCAATTCGGAGCTTTCCAAGTTAGATCTTGGCATTTAAGAGTGGTGGCCTTGGCAGTGCTGATCATCTTGCTAAATAAAACTCTACAGCACAGATGGACACACAAAAAGAAACATCTCACTTGCTCTTGTTTCATCATTTCATCACCAGGAACACCAAAACCCTTTATAATCAGCTGAAGAATATAGAGGATTTATGGAGGGACTTATTTCTCCTCCACCTGCTCCTCCACAACTGCAGAGAGAAGTGTGAAGCCAACCAGGGCATTGTGGTGGTTCTGGCTTGCAGAACCAGCCAGTTCAGCCTCTGGGGCTTTGTGATCCAACCTTGGTCCCCACCAGTGGGGATATATGATCATCAGCATGATCATCTTAGAGTGCTTTTCCAGCCTAAATGATTCTGTGACTCTATGATAATTCTGGAAACAAGAGAACATTGTCCTCATGTCTCTTAAACACTGCCAAGTTTGGGGCATTAACCAACTCTCTAGGAAGCCTCTTCCAGGGTTTGACCACCATTTTGGCAAAGAAAGGACTGTCTGATCATGCTGTTTGATGCTCATCAGGATGCAGTTTGTCCTCTGAGCTGCCCAGGCACACTGCTGGCTCATATTGAGCTGCTACCAGCAGCTCAGGTCCTCTCTGCAGGCTTCTCTCCACACACACATAGTGAGATTCACTTCTGTGAACACATGATGTTTACCAGTCCCATCAGGATCTCCTACCAACAGCAGCACTGGTGAGACATCCCAGTGGTTCACTCTGTGGCTGCTCTCGAGTAATCCCTTCCTCTCTCCCTCCTCTCAGGTCCTTCTTTCCACCCATATATGGTGAGATTCCCACCTGTGAACACATCATGTACACCCCAGTCCTGTCAGGAGCTGGTACCAACAGTACTGGTGAGAAATCAGCCCAGTGGCTCATCCTGGGGTTGCCCTCAAGTAATCCCTTCCTCTCTCCTTCCCCTTCAGTGTTTGTTGGTACAAGAAGAGACTAAACCAACTGTTCAAACCTATAGAATAAGCTTGGCTTATGGCTTTTGATTTGCTCATGCCTTGATAGCCTGTGTAGTGATTCACCCTGAATTAAGGGCATTCTGGGGGTCTCCAGCCCCATTTTCCTAGTGCTGTGAGAGATGTGGAGAGTGTGTTCCCCTTCTCTCCCCAGGGATGGATATATTCTTCAAAGAGCACCCCCTGAGTCACTGTAGGCATTGAGAGGTTCTGCATTCTCAGGCAGTGGCTCATTCCATGCCAGGAGGCAGTGAGAAGAGCCAACAAGAGCAGGTTGGAGTTCCCACAGGAGCTAATTGGGATGAGCTAGAGAATACATAATATGATAGCATCCCTGGGAGTGAGTTACCAGCTGGGAGTGGTGCAGAGAGGGGTGAAGGGATGCAGGAAGAACACAGAGCCTCAACAAATGTGCTGGATTCTCTCAGGAGCAAGAGCTGTGTCATGGTCTGCGTGTTGGACTTCATAGAATCATAGAACCACCAGGGTTGGAGGAGATCTCTAAGATCATTAAGTCTAACCATTAACCTGTCATTGCTGCACCCCCTAAACCTTATCTTCCACTGCCACATCCAGACACCTCTTAACATCTTCAAGGATGGTGATTCCACCACCTCCCTGGGCAATATTCCAGTGCCTGAACACCCTCACAGGGAAAACATTTCTCCTCACATCTCCTCTGACTCTGCCCTGTGTCAGCCCAAGGCCATACCCTCTAGTCCTCTCCCTACAGCCATAGCAGGAGAGACCATGCCCACCTCTGAGGACACCTTGCTGAAGGCTCAGCTCCTACTCTGCTCTCTCTCCATCAGACTCAAGTAACAGGAGAATCAATTTGGCCCCAAACTTTCTGCAAGAACCAGGAGTGACCACAGCTCCACCAGGAGCCTCTCTGGTGACCTGTCCTCAAGGGGAAGGCAACTAGTGTTGGTGTTGATGCTGTCTGGGAAGAAAGGGGAGTGGTTTCTTGTCTAGGCAGAATCGGTCCTGTTTTTCCACCTTTCCTCCTCTCCCTCCAGGGGACAAATCAGTCTCTAGGCTGAGTCACTGCTCAGTTGAGGATGAGCCAACTGGGAGGGCTTTTGGCACTGCCTCCAGCTAGTCCTTAGCAAAGCCCAGTCATTACTTCTCCAAACAGAGGTGGAATTCTTTAGGCTTCCTAAAGAATGTATGTTTGCATTTCAGCAAGCACAGCTGGGCCAGATGTGGCAGGTATTGGCACCAGGAGGGGTGCAGGAGCCCACAGCAGGCACAGCCAGCACCAGGTGCTGCAGTGTATGGGCACCTTGGCAAGGAGTGGAGAGGTGGCCACAAAGGCAGTGCTGACAAAAGGGACACTCACAGCCCATGTCACCCCTCACTGTCCCTGTAGGGACCTCCTCAGCCACCAAGAAGATCCTGGCCAAAGACGTTACCAGCTGGGAAAAGGTGAAGTCTGGGAAGAGGTGAAGTCTTCACTCTCAGTTTCTTTCCTCCCCAGGGATGGATTTCTTCTTCATTTTTTGAAGAGCACTCCCTGAAGTCACTGTGGGCACTGGGAGATTCTGCATTCCCAGACAGTGGCTCATTCCATGCCAGGAGGCAGTGAGAAGAGCCAACAAGTGCAGGATGGGGTTCCCACAGGAGCTACCTGGGATGAGCTAGGCTGGTACCATGCACCCCACAACACCCTGAGCACCAACACCAACCCTTTGCACCAACATCAGGCCCATGCATCAACTCCTGTTGCAATGACCAACACCAGTTCCATGCACCAAATCCAGTCCCATGCACCAACACCAGCCCCATGTAGTGTGGCAAACTGAGTACATCTTCATTCCTTAAGTATGCATAGCAAAATTTCTTCTTCATTCCCAACAGGAAATTCAAAACTCTGCAGATCCTCCTGTGGAGAACTGAATCATTGGAAGTTTTTTATTGTCATGGCATTCTTGCTCTTGCTCTGTCCCAGCATGCTAACAAATAAGTCAGTTTTACTTGAGGGGGGGAGAAAATCAACCTTGCTATGACCCAGCTGGTCTAACCTCAGGTTTGTGGTGGTTGTTCAGTTCTGTGCTCTGGTACCTCTGATTGCTCTCATCACTCTGGAGTCTCTCCTGTTTGGGTGGAGGCAGTTATAGAGAAAGAGCAGGTGTTACCATTCCCATTATTGCCTTGTTTCCATCAAGCCCTTCATCCACACAAAACTTGAGACAGCTGAGCAAACCTTTGTTTATCTCCTAGGACTAAAGTTCAGCATGTTGGAGCTCTAAGTAATGTTCTCAGTGCTGCTGTAGCTTTGTTAGCTCACATGCTAACCAAAGTCACATCCACAATGCACCAACACCAGCCCCATAGACCAAATCCAGCCCTTTCCACTAACACCAGCCCTATGGACCAAATCCAGCCTCATGGACCAAAACCAGTCCCATGCACCAACACCCATCCCTTGTACCAGCATCAGTTACCATGCACCAGCCCCATGCACCAAATCCATTCCCAATGCAGTTGGGGAGTCCAGAGCTGCACACCCTCCAGTTGACAGAGGTCATGGTGATGCCAAATGACTCCATCAAGTGGAAACAGCTGATTTGTTCCAGCTCCAACTCTTCTGCAGTGCCATGAACATATTCCCAAGCAAGCCCAGGTAGGGAGGTGTCTCCTTGCAGAGCAGACTCCAGCCTTGAGGTAAATTCCATGTGCACAGGAGGCAGGATTAGAGGGAGTGGCAATCTGTGACGCTCCCGAGTACATGGAGCAGAGGGAATAATAACCCCATGAGAGGTGGGCAAGAGCTGTGTGTTTGGGCTGCAAGGACCTTCTGCTGGGTGGACAGCAGGAAGAAAGGCACCTCCACCTCTTCTGCTGCAGCCCCTGGACTCCACCAGGTAATCCCTTCTCCTTGGATGTCTCTGCCTTGGCAGCAGGAGTGAGCTGGAGGTACTTGAAGAGCTCCATGGAGGAGACAGTGAGGCTTCCCCGGGAGTCCTGGATCTAAAGGAATGTCTTTTCAGCTCCTGGGAGGGGTGGTAGAAGTGTTTGGGGCTCAGCCTGTGCTGCTGGTGGAAGAGTTTTCACTGTGCTGTACCTCTCAGGGTAGCCCCCAAGACCTTCCAAGGTCTGTTGAGCTGAGGGACATTTTGCAAAGGGAATCTTTTTGTAGGCTGAATGTTGGCAGGAAAGGCAAGGCTCTTCCCTGGAATTTGCATGCTCTTCTCCTGACGTTGCACCACAAAAATGCTTTCTGGCTCTCCTTGTTTTTCCTAAAGGCTCTTTAAGACTAGTTAAGGCTCTAAAGACTTGTTAATGAGTCCAAAGCCTCCTGGGGAGGAGCAGAAGGCTATATTCAGTGTGTGGCTCCTCCTTGTTGTGCCTCCCGCCTCTGCCTGTGTGTCCCAGAGCTCCCTGTGCTCCTCAGGACCATCCCTGGAATGATCCCTCAACCACCTTCCCTTGGGGAAGGAGTCCTGCTGCAGCACAGGGATGCTGGCAACAACAAGAGATGCAATGAGGGGTCTTGGTCCTGATTTGCACCTCAGGGTGATGGTGCAGAAACCTTCTTCCCCCACCATGGAAAGTGAGGAACCACGATTTGGGTCAGGGCTCTGATGAGCCAAACCACAGCCACCCCGAGCTCCTGCTGTGAGCAGGAGCGTGGACAAGGCTTGTTCCTCCAGCAGAGCAGTGGTGCAGGTGTGATCCTCCACGTATCCACTCCAAGGACAGCAGAGGGAGCAAGAGTTTTTCTCCCCAGCTGCAAAACCACCTCCTGCAGCATGGGAAGCCAATTCCTCCTGCAGAAGAAAGAGAGGATGATGAGGGTTAGCTGGGAAGTGAGAGAAACCTGCTCACAGTTCTTTCTTTCCCCAGGGAAGCAATGGGGTGGGCACCTGGGGCAAGGTACCTGGCACTGACATCCAACCTTCATCACTGCTTCCCTCTCAGCAACAGCACAGCTGCAAATTCAGTGGGAATTTGGCAGCTCCTTGCTAAATTGCTCCACACAATTTAGCTCTTTTAGCATGTCACAAAGAGCTGAGGCAACATTTCTGTTCCAAATGTGTTGTCTCCAACAAATTTACCCATGGATAGTCTGCCCATGGCAGATGATGGGATCTAGATGATCTTTAAGGTCTCTTCCAACTCAAGCCATTCTGTGTTTCTATTAGATACAATGGCAGTAAGATTTTTTGTTTTTGTGGTAGATGCTTCTGCCTGGTCCAGAGACCTTGAGAGCTTTGCTAGGCTGGAGTAGGCCATGGTCAAGACTGGGTTCTCCAAGAAACAACTTTCCCTGTAGGAATAGCCTTGGGAGCAGAAAAAATGCAGGTGTTCACCATGCCAACCTTCTTGTTCTGAGAGGATCTTCTCCAAAGAGGAAGGAAAAGCTAAGGAGAGCAACAGATGCTTCAAAACCCTTCCCAGGAAGAACAGGAGTGTCCTGAGATGATATTTCACTCAGGTTTGCAAACACAAGTCAGGGGTCTCCCAAGGTCTCTTTCAACCATAAGAAGAGTCCAAATAAATCACATTATTCGGTTTCATATTAAGACCAAGACTCCATGGTCATGGAACTTTAACTTGGGTGGTTTAGTCCTGGGTAGTTCAGTGTACCAGAACAATCTGTTCTTCTGAGTATTCAAGACATCATTTTAAGTGGCTAATCCATACTCTGCCCCTCAAGAACCAGGTTTGCCTGGGCGCATGTAGTTCTACACATACACACATGTGCCAGGTGGGGAATGCGGGATGAAAATGTGATGGAACTTGGACTCTGCCAGTGTCCAAGACTGGCAAATTGAGCCATTTTTAGAACCAATTAGAGGACTTCTAGTTTTATTTCTCCTGTGGATTGGTCAAGTTGATATATTAATGGAAGTAGAGTCCACATCAAGCAACTGTGTCAGTGCCATCAGTGTCTATCATGCTCCTCATGTTGATGTTGTTTTGCAGAGCACCATGATGTGGCTGTTCCTAACCATTGCTTGTCTCATGTGCTTCACTGCAAAGTCATATGCCAACCCTGAGGTGGCCATGGATGTTGTAAGTCCCTTTTTTTCCTGCTTGGTCATGCAAGCTACCTGTGCTGTCATCATCTGAGCACTGTGTAGATTTAATACCAAAGGTTTATTAGAGCTTTTGGCTCCTTGTTCTTAAGTACATGGAGATTTATGGCAGATGTTTATGGAGGACTTCATTCCAAGTCAACAGGTTTGGTCAATGCAGCTGTCTCATGCTCAGAGCTTTGCTGGCATTGCTTCCCTGCTCTTCATAAACCCTGATTGCAACACAAAATCCACAGTGGGTCCTTTACTAGACCTGCTCAGGGAGTGAAATAAACTCACATGTGCCAAAAGTTTTAGCTGAAGTCATGAGATCACCACAGCGTTGGTGGAAGGGACATTGGGAGGTCCCTACTCCACCCTCCTGCTGACAGCAGGAGCCACCACCACCACCAGCTCAGGGCAACCACCACTGGCTTTGCCCTGCCAAGCACCAAGTGGTGCCCTTCATGACAGAGATCTCCCACCTCCCTGGAGACCTATCCCACACTGTCCTTCCCTTCCTACAGGGTGAAATTGTTCGCTACCATGGGTACCCCTATGAGGAGCATGAAGTGGTGACAGATGATGGTTATTATCTCACTGTGCAGAGGATTCCTCATAGCAAAGACAATCCAGAAAGCATCAGCCCCTCCCATGAAGCAGAGGCACAAGGCTCCAGCATGTTCTGTCCCCGTGAGTATCACAGGAAGATCTGCCTGGTCCAAAGACCTTGAGAGCTTTGTTGGGCTGGAGTAGGCCATGGTCAAGGCTGAGTCCTCCAGGAGACAACTTCCCCTGTAGGAGTAGCCTCGTAGCAGGAGAAATGCAGGTGCCCACCATGCCAACCCTCTTGTTCTGAGAGGATCTCCTCCAAAGAGGAAGGAAAAGAGAAGGAGAATTGAACGGGCCAAAGAACTCCTGCCCCAGGTTTTACCTCAGCTCAAAACCAGACAGTAGAGTAGCAAAACGCCATTGTGTTGAGTGTGTGGCTGCTCCTTGTTGTGCCTCCCACCTCTGCCTGTGTGTCCCAGAGCTCCCTGTGCTCCTCAGGACCATCCCAGGAATGATCCCTCAACTGTCTTCCCTTGGGAAAGGAGAGTCCTGCTGCACACAGGGATGTTAACAACAACAGGAGATGCAATGAGAGGTCTTGGACCTGATTTGCACCCCAGGGTGATGGTGTGGAACCCTTCATCCCCCACCATGGTAGGGGAAAACCCAAACCACATGTCTAATTCAATGTCGTCTCACCATTTTGGATCCTTTCTGGTCTTCACTCAAAGCACTGGTTCCAAGTGAAGTTGGAGTGATGTTCTGTTCTTGGCTATGTGTTCCTCACCTGGGAAACAGGAGGATTGGGATATGAACATGGCAAATAAGTGTAAAACAACCCAGATTTCCATTTGGAACACTTTGTCCTCCTCTGTCCAGAGTGGAAATGTGAGTCTCATGTTAAGGGTTTGAAAACCAAGAGAAAAAAATAGTAGACGAAATAGAGAAAGAATAAAAAAGAATCTTTCATTTTATTTCACTTTTATCAGTTTTATTTCAGCTCTTTCATGCTGCAAACTGTATTTGGCTTGTATGAATTCAGATATGCTTGTGATGACCCTGTTGTGGCTGAGAAGTTGGACTTGCTTTCAGTAGAAGATTAGAGCAGAGGTTTCTTCCAAACTAAGCCTTTCCTTAATCTCTCCTCAACTCTCTTCCTACAGCACTTTAGGCTTCCTGGTTCCTTGTAAAAAAGATCTTGTTCTGGGGAGCTGAGACTTGCCCACATCTTTCTTCACCTCTCTTCCTACAGCACTACAGCCTTCCTAGTCCCTTGTAAAAGAAGATCATGTTCTGGGAAGCTGAGACTTGCCCACATGGCTTAAAGTAAGCAGCAGTGGGTGGAGGAGATGGCCTTGAACCCTCCAGTGCTGTGTCTCTTTGAGATATGATGTCGTGGTGTTGCTGTTCCATGGGAAGTACTTCCACTCTGCTGGCTTTTCAGTGTCACCTGATCAGGCCCAGAGTCCCTAGGCCAACAGAAGGCACTGTGAGGAAGGTGATCTCCATACAAAGAACTCAGTGTCCAGACAGATACAGAGCTTAGTTTCTTTCTCCCTGGGACCATGATTTATCAAACTCCATCCGGAGTAGAGTTCAACCTTTTGTTTCAGCTTCATTACACCAATTCTCTCTGGTCTGAGGTGACCAAAGAGCCTCCTTCAGAAACACCTCTCCAAAGAGTCTGAGAAGAGAGGTGGACATCTCCTTGCCCTGGTGTCACTTCTTCAAGGAGTTGCCAAAGCAAGACTTGGATGTGAACAGTCAACTTTGCTAGTGGTCAGAGAAAATGACTCCTCCTCTTCTTTCTCCAGCTCCAAAGGCTGCAGTCCTCCTGCAGCATGGTCTGGTGTTGGAGGGAAGCAACTGGGTCACCAACTTGCCCAACAACAGCTTGGGCTTCATCCTGGCTGATGCTGGTTATGATGTCTGGATTGGGAACAGCCGAGGGAACAGCTGGTCAAGGAAACACAAAGAGTTAGAGTTCCACCAGAAATTTGCTGGGGACCTGAAGGGTGGGCAGGTACCTGATACCTTCAACAATGTCTGCAGGCTGGAGGAGATAACAGTCACACCATCTCCAAGTGGGGATAAACCAACACCATGACTCCATAGCATTGCCCATACCATCCAGAGCCCTTGCTTGGTTCCAAGTAGCCATGGCACTGCTTGCCATGTCCTGCCCATCATTCTCAAGGTCAGCGGGACCTGAAGGGTGGGCAGGTACCTGATACCTTCAACAATGTCTGCAGGCTGGAGGAGATAACAGTCACACCATCTCCAAGTGGGGATAAACCAACACCATGACTCCATAGCATTGCCCATACCATCCAGAGCCCTTGCTTGGTTCCAAGTAGCCATGGCACTGCTTGCCATGTCCTGCCCATCATTCTCAAGGTCAGCAAGAGTGATTTTGTGACTGTCTTCCCTGCAGTTTCCATGAGATGGCCATGTATGACCTTCCAGCAACAATCAATTACATTCTGCAGAAAACTGGGCAGGAGCAGCTGTACTACGTGGCTTACTCCCAAGGCACCACCACAGGTACTTAGGAGGAGATCAGACCACTGTCAGGGTTGCATTAGCTATCCCCCCCCCCCCCCCCTCAAAACCTTGGTCAGTGTGGGTATCCTCTGGGCACCTCCAAACAGCAGAGGGAAAAGAGAAGGTAATAATCCCTTTAACAGAAGAGTTGTGAGCATTGACAGCCCAAATCTGTTTGCATCCATGACTTTTGTGGCATCCCATTGCTGCCAGAGCCCCAAGAAGGGTTTGTGGGAGGTGCAGCTGGGCTGAGAGTCAAGTTGAGAGCTGAAGGACATCAGCAGCTTGTGGGAGCTGCAGCTGGGCTGAACAGTCAATCTAGGAGCTGAACTACCTCAGCAGCAAAGGCTTCAGGTGAATTCGCCAACTGCGAAAGCCACCTCCAAGGGTCCTTCTGATGGGCACACACACCTGGGAGCCAACAAGTCCTTCAGCTATGACAGGGCAGGTCCTTCTTCCTTCTCCCTCACACAGGTTTCATTGCCTTCTCCTCCATCCCCGAACTGGATCGCAAAATCAAGATGTTTTTCGCCTTGGCTCCTATCACTGTCAACTCAAACATGAAGTCACCCTTGGTAAGGGTGTTTGATCTCCCTGAGGTGCTGGTTAAGGTATGTCCTCACCACACATGAGGTGTGAAGGGGAAGGAGGGACTGGGAAAGTCTTATCACCTGAGATATGCAATGCTTGTCCATCACCTCCATCTCCTGCTCTCTGTGTGCCCTTTGCACTGAGTAGGTATGCTTGGGTCTATGCTCTTCAGCCTGAAGGACATTCAACATTGGAAGGGTTTAAGAGCTGTCGGGACCTGGTGCTGAAGGATATGGCTTAGGGTTTAGGGGTTACAGCAGTGACAGGTTAGTGGTTGGACTCGATGATCTTAGAGGTCTCCTCCAACCTTGATGATTCTATGAGTCCATTATCCTCTTGCCCAACCCTAATCAAAGAACTATTCCTAGATACTGATTTTGCATCCCTTCTCCTAGGAGAAACCTCTCCTGGAGGGATCAGGACTCTTCCAGCAATTGCTGGAAAGCCAAAATGCCAAATCCCTGCAATGCTGTGGCAAGGGACACAGCAATTCAGGGGTGAGCAGAGAGATGGGGAGCACCTGGAAGCAAGAGAGGAACATGAACAACTCTAATCAGCATCTTTGGCTTCCACAGCTTATTTTAGGACACTCAGTGGTCTTTGATAACACTGAGGTCTTGAAGAAAGTGATTTCCAGTATGTGCACCTACTCCATCTTTAGAAGCCTTTGCTCCTTGGTCCTTTACTTGCCTGGTGGCTTCACCAGCAGCTTAAATGTGGTATGTATGCTCCAGTTTACCTTTGAAGTCATCTCGTTTCTCATTGTATGAGCTCAGGTTGTCAACTTGATGCCTTCACTTGGTCTTTCACATTGTTGATTGATAGAAAAATCTGGGCATTGAGTTGGCATTTTGTTCTGTGGCCATTGAGTTGCTATTTTGTTCTGTGGCCACTGAGTTGGCATTTTGTTCTGAGGCCATCGAGTTTACATTTTCCTCTGTGGCCATTCAGTTTGCATTTTGCTCTCTGCCCATTGAACTGGCATTTTGCTCTGTGGCCATTGAGTTGGCCATGACAATGCTCTTGTGTTGGCACCAGAGGGAAGCCCACAGTGCACACAAGCTCATGTGTTCACATGTGTTTAAGAAGTGCCTGGATCTTGTGCTGGAGGATATGGTTTAGGCATTACAGCAGTGACAGGTTAATGGTTGGACTTGATGATCTTAGAGGTCTCTCCAACCTTAATAGGTCTATGATTCTAATACCCTTTAAATCCACAGCTAGGATAGCTGAACCCTCAGTCCCTTCAGGCTATCATCCCTTAGAACATACTTATCTCCAATTAGAACCTTTACCTGTGCTCCACTGCACTGAACACAGAGTCATAGAAAAATTCAGCCTGGAGGCACCAGGGTAAGGTCTCCATCCTGCCCTTGCACCCACCAGGGCCAACACTACAGTAGAGGACAAGTCCAGGTATGCTGGCTGGTCCCAGAAGGCCCACAAGGGCATGGGCTATTTCCTTGGGGCCAGCCAAGTTTTCAAGGTCTAGATCCCACCAAAAACTGCTCGTGAACTTTGAGACAGGTCCAGTCAATCATAGCTTCATCCTGGATGGAGGCAGAGCTAGATGGGAAGTGTTGGAGTAATATCTTACTATTCCAAGAAGGAAACACATTAGAAACAACGCATGAAGCTACTTTGAATTGCACTTTGTCTTTGCAAAAGGATCCTGAGCACAAGACATTAACCACTGGTAAGTGGTTGGACTTGACAATCTTATAGGTCTCCTCCAACCTTGATGAGTCTATGATTCTCTATGGAATCTTCCTTTGGTTTGCAAACCAGATACAGCCATCACATGGCCCAGCATGCCATGCCGGGAATTGTTTGGCTTGCTTAAAGGAGCTCTACAGCTGTGTGGCAAAGACTTGTGTGGCTGCTGAACAGGATCGGTTTTATTCCTAACAGGATTTCCCTTCATGCAGAGGCTAAATCTCTCCAATGGTTTCTTGCAGAGCCGCATAGATGTCTACCTGTCTCGTTATCCTGACTCAACATCCCTCCAAAACATGTTACACTGGCGCCAGGTAAACGTTGCCTGCTGCAAAGGAAGATACCATGCCACTAGAGCTCATGTTCTCTTTTCTCAGCTGCCAAGGACTCTACTCAGTGCTTGGGTATAACCCTCCACTGCTCTCCCTGTTAGAAAGAAAGAGTAAAGCTGACCTGAAACACTGGTGCAGATGCAGTTATTTAGGCCATAACAACAAAACACGATCAACAGCCTTTGGAGATGTCAGAAGGTGGAGATGGGACAAAGACTGTTATAAACCAAGACAGGAGATGCTAGAGTAAAGGCTGAGAGCTGAGGGTCAGTAAGACAACTAATGACACAACTGAAAACATGCACAGATTCACATCTTTCTGCTGTAGACAGTGACCATGACAAGGGAGACTTGTTCAAAGTTCTGATTCATGTCTTCTTTGAGGGTCTTGGGTGTATGTCAGGTTCCCTGTGGGTTTCTGGGGCCTCAGCCCTCAGACATCTACACTTTGCGGCTCACCAGCCACCTGAGAAAGGAGAGGTGAAAGACATCAGCAGAGGTAGGTGATCTCTCAGGCTTTGCTGAAATCTCCCTGGGCACTGAACTCTCCTCCCAAAATGCATCAGACATAATAAATAGCTCCATGGGAGCCAACAGTGTGTACAGGTGGCCAAGAAGGCCAAGGGCACCTTGGCCTGGCTCAAGAGCAGTGTGGCAGCAGGACTAGGGCAGTGACCATCCCCCTGGACTCGGCACTGGGGAGCTCACAGCTCAGTGCTGTGTTCAGCTTTGGGCCCCTCACTGCAAAAAGGCCATTGAGGCACTGGAGCGAGTCCAGCCAAGGGCAAGGAGGGCAGCAAAGGGCTAGAGCACATGAGGAAGGGCTGAGGGAGTTGGGTTGGTTAGCCTGGAGAAGAGGCTCAGGGGTGACCTCATGGCTCTCTGCAACTCCCTGACAGGGCTTGGAGAGAGGTGGGGGATGGTCTGTCCTGCCATGGCTGCAGGGAGAGGACTAGAGGGAATGGCCTTGAGCTGAGCCAGGGCAGAGTCAGAGGAGATGTGAGAAGAAATATTTTCCCTGTGAGGGTGTTCAGGCATTGGAATAGATTGCTTAGGGAGGTGGTGGAGTCACCATCCCTGGAGGTATTTAAGAGGTGTCTGGATCTGGTGCTTGAGGATGTGGTTTAGGGTTTAGGGGTTCCAGCAGTGACAGGTCAATGGTTGGACTTGATGAACTTAGAGGTCTCCTCCAGCCTTGATGGTCTGTTTCCCTGAGCCTTGGTGGCAGAAGGAGCAGTGCAGTTCCCTGGTCACCTCTTTTCTCTTCCTTATATTCCCCTGCAATGCATGGCTCATAAACACATCTCTCTTCCTTTTCCAGCTCTACCAAACAGGGGAATTCAAGCATTATGACTATGGCAGTGAGAACATGCTGCATTACAACCAGGTAAGACAAAGCCAATCTCATTGCTCAGTTTGAAAAGAGATAAATAGCAAGTAAATAAAATTACAATGAAAATATTACAGTGGTTGAGACTGAATTTAGAGTCATGAGCAATGTGGGCTAGTGGAATCTGTCCCTGCCCATGGCAGGGGTTGGAACTAGATGATCTTTAAGGTCCTTCCAATTCAAACCATTTTATGATTTTTGTGGTATTTATGGAATTTATTTTCGATGGAGAAACAGATTTGTACCTTTCTTACAACAAACAAGTCTGTGATGTCACTCAGTGATGACTTTTAACCCTCTGGTACAAAGCACAGAAGCTCAAGGCATTGTGAGCATCTCTAGAGACAGTTTCTCAACTATCACTTGGGATAAGGGAGAAATTTCAAGCAGCAATGAGGAATACCTTGAATGTTTGGCTTGGCCTTGACCTTCAGGATCTCCCTCCTTGTGCCATGCTCTTGTGTTCCAGCCTACACCTCCCTTCTAGGTTTGACTTGCCCTTGACCTCAGACTCTCCTTCCTTAGCCATATTTTTGTCTTCCAGCCCACACCTCCCTTCTATGCTTGACTTGTCCTTGAGCTTCAGGCTCTCCTTCCTCATGCCATGATCTTGTCTTCCAGTCTACACCTCCCTTCTATGAGCTGGAAAACATGAAGGCTCCTCTGGCTGCATGGTATGGTGGCAAGGACTGGATTTCAGCCCCTGAAGATGTGAACCTCACTCTGCCTCGGATCACCAACATAGCTTACAGAAAGTACATTCCTGACTTTGTCCACTTTGATTTCCTTTGGGGAAAACAAGTGTATGACCAAGTGTATAAAGAAATGCTACAGCTGATGGAGAAGAGCACCTAGATCTGGAGCAAGTGGCAGTGATTGTCTTCTTAATGACTTCTGGGGTTTCTTTTATTTGGAACAAACAAAAGTGAAGGAAAAAAGTTAAGGAAAAAGGGGGGGAAATGCTCAATAAAGTGCTAAGGTTTGGATTGATGTTAGTCTGACAAGTGAGGGAAACAAGCCAATCCAATGAGCAGGGAAGCATGAAGGATTTAGGTGAAATAGACTGAGGTCCTTGCAGAAGTTGGTCCTCAGACCCTGAGTCTTCCAGGTGCCTCACTCACATGAACATCCAGCAACAAATGTCAGTGGAATTTGACTCCTTGTGGTTGCTCTGGTCTCCCTTACATTTATCTACACCTCCATTCCCAGCTGCAAACACTTGGACATTCCAATTCCCAGTGGAAACACCTTCCTGAACTACTCCAGTGTGTCACAAGGATTGGCCTGCTCAGATGGAACCATGTGGTGTGTCCAACCTTCTGGTGACTCTTCCACACCAAGAATCCCAACATCTTCTCATTCATTGCTTTACCTGACAGAGGGAAGGAGCTACAACTTTCTACCTGGAAACAGTGAAGAAAGCTCATGCTGTTTTTTGCCATGAGAAATGTCCATTTTGCTAACCTAGGGAACATCTGTCTCCAACTCCTGTTGATTTGGATGATACCAACCTTGCTCATACCCAGAAGAGTTTGCAAGAAGTTCTCCCAAGAAACATCATTTTTGGCAATATTCCTAAGGAACAAATCCACATTTTTCCACCTCTCAGGGAATTATTTTGTTTTCCTTATGTGGGAGAGAGAAGAAAAGATCCTGTTGTAACGTTGTAATGAGCTGAAATCTGTTTGAAGCTTCTGGATTAAATTCTAAGTCATCTTTCCACAAAGATGTACAAATAATAGCAATAATAATAATGATAATAAAATGAGGTAGAGGCCACCAAGTTCTGTGTGATTGTAGTATCTTAAACCTCTAGAGAAATTCTTCCCTATGGGGGTGCTGAGGCACTGGCACAGGTGGCCCAAAGCAGCTGTGGTTGCTCCATCCCTGGAACCTGCCACTTCACCGCCTCTTTGATTTTCTCCCCATTACTCCTTGTCCTGTCACTGCAGTTTCTAACAAGTTCTAGCTAAATCAGGTTCTGGAATCACTCTGCTCCCTATGGCACATGTACTTGCTTTCCATGTGCTGTTAGAGGATCAACAGTGGCTGGGGAGGTGCATTGTGGAAGCAAACAGAGCAGTAAACAAGCAAGATGCCTGGAGCATAAATATTGTGCAACACTATCACCTCACATGGCCTTGATCAATAAACAATTGAGTTACATGACAAGCGTGTTGGTCAGGACTGGATTGGAGTTCTTGCACATCTCAGGTGTGTCTGGCAAGTCAGTCAGCATCAGACAGGTCCTTGGTGATTGCACAGGGCCAAGGTTAGGTTAGGCTATCATAGAATTACAGATTGGTTCGGGTTGGAAGGACCTTAAAGACCACCTAGTTCCAACCTCCTGACATGATCAGGGACCCCTTCCACCAGTCCGGGTTGCTCCAAGCCCCATCCAACCTGGCCTGGAATACTGCCAGGGATGGGACTATGGAGTCATGGTAGCATCAGCAGTGTGGGAACATGGACATAGAACAAGGAAACCTATGGGAGGAGACCTCCAAGAGAAGGACCAGAGCTCTGAGTTAGGTCTTTGTTCCATTCAGATCTCAGCTACAGCACAGAGTTGAAGGTCCCCTTGTGCATAAAATCATTGAATCCTAGAAGGGTTTGGGTTAGAAGGACCTTAAAGATCATCTCATTCCAACCACCCACTATGGGCAGGGAGACCTTCTACTAGCCCAGATTGCTCCAAAACCTGTCCAACCTGGCCTGGAACACTTCCAGAGATGGAGTAGCCACAGTTTCTCAGGGCTACCTGTGCCAGTTCCTCATCACCCTCACAGGGAGCAGTTCCCTCCCAATATCCCATCTAACCCTACTCTCTGTCAGTGGGAAGTCATTCCCATTGTCCTGTCACTCTAGACCCTTATGATAGTCTCTCTCCATCTTGTAGGTCCTTGAGGTACTAGAAGGCCACACTTAGGTCATCCCAAATCTTCTCTTCTACAGGCTGAACAATCCCAACTCTCCTAACCTTTCCACACAGCAGAGCTGATTCATCCCTCTCATCATCTTGGTGCCTCCTCTGGCCTCACTCCAACAGCTCCATGTCTTATGTATATCAGCCTATGGTGTCAGGGGCTGGATGTATTCAATCTCTCACCCTGCACAACACATCATGAAGCCTTCAGCACCCATTGAATGTACTTGTGGCTCTGCCCTGTTCCCTTTTCATTCTCCATATGCAGCCAAACCAACCTCAGTGTTTTCACCTTCACATGTGGAGGATGCTGGTCACTCAGCCACTTAACTTTCATTCAGATGTGTTCCTGCAAAGTCTCCTGATCTGCTTGATGACACACAAGACCAGAAGGGCTTAAACTGTGTCACATCCTGCTCAGAATGCAGCAGTTGCACCATATTGTTGACCTATCATCTTCTATCATCATCCATCAGCTGTGGAGCACATGGTCAACTCCAGGCTGTGTCCACACTAGAGAGGTGGTGAACACATCTACTGTCGTGTCCTTCCCATTCAAGGATTACACCCAGGCACATGCTTAGAGGGAAGTTATGCTTTTGGAAGTAATCCTAAGATTGCTTTGGTATCTGCTAAAAGCGATTGTTGGCCTCTGGTGTTGTTTAGCAGTTGATTTGTCCCAGAGGTAATCTAGGACAAGGTTTCATCAAGTTCTGACAGGTTTCATGTTGTTCTGATCCTCAACAGCACGTCTGGCAGCAATTCCCAGCAGTCACTGGCATTGCTGGGTAGATTCAGAGTTTATTTTGTTGAGGACATGCCTTATTTCTTATCTCAGGAGCTGTGAGCAATTTCTGTGCTATTTCCTAGCATTTTCAAATGATCTTTTGAGACTGTTAGATGGATGCTTGAAAGAAAGAGACCTGGTAGCTGGTCTTTGCTAGATGGATGCTAGAGAGACATGTGATAGAAGGTCTTTGAAGTTCTAGATGAATGCTTGAGAGACCTGGTAGCTGATCTTAAGAGATTGCTAGATGGATGATGGGAGAGATCTGGTAGCTGGTCTTTGAGACTGCTAGATGAATGCCTGAGAGAGAGACCTGGGAGCTGGTCTTGAAAGTTGTTAAATGAATGCTTGACAGAGACCCAGTATCTGGTCTTGGAGGCTGCTAGATGAAGGCATGAGAGAGAGACACCTGCTAGCTGGTCTTCAAGATTTGTATTTTCCTGTGTTGGGACTTTAAGCAGGTGAGAATGGTATAAGGTGATGGAAAGATATGGCTAGCCAAAATCAAGATCAGATGTAACTCTCTCTCCATTTCTGATTCTGTGCTATGTCACATGAGATATGTTCCTACTCCCTGAAGGTCTCTGATGGCCTTCATCAGGTCTTTGGCCCAATCAGCTTTTCTCCAACACAATGGAAAAAAGGCTAAGAGCAACTAAGATACCAAATTTGAACCATGTTAGCATTGAGAAGGTTTGCTGAAGTTGACCCAGGTGAGTTCACCAACAAACCAAACTCTTATCACAGATTGTTAAGGGGTTGGAATGAACCTTAGAGATCATCTAGTCCCAACCCCCTGCCCTGGGCACCTCCAACCACTTTTAGCTGTAAGATACTCTTTGAAGCAAATTGTACAGTGAGGAGAGCTCAGGGAAGAAGCACATGAAGCTCAGGGTTGTTCTAAGTCTTCTGAAGAAGGGACCATGGGAAGAATCAGCTGAGAAAAGCCACTGGTGACCACATCTCTGTGGTTTCACAATAGACATTGAGGAATGTTTATGCCTTTGTTTGTTGAGTTTGATGACTGGGAATGAAATCATTGCATGAGCAAACCCAACAAGGTGTTGTGAAAAGAATAAGCTGTTTCCTTAAGCTTCACTGTGCAACTCGAACACGAGCAAAAACCCTACTCAGTGTGTAATCAGAGACAGCCCAGCCTAGCTGAGGGGCTTTAATATAGGAGAGGTCAAAGCAGATAAGGACTGAGCCCCTTATCAGGTTCTTTAACTTGAGTAAGGTTCTCTGAGTTTACTGCAAGGAGATTGTGCCTACCTGGCAGAGATTACGCAAGAGCTGGTGTCCTCTTGATGCTATAATCACACCAAGACTCTCTTTCCCAGCTCAGGATGCCAAGACGAGATGAAAGATAGCTAAGCATTGGGTAGAAAGCAACAAGCAGCAACTTAGGCAGTCTGGTAGCTTCTACATGTGTGAAAGCAGCAGGAGATACACCAAAGCAGGACTTGGAGAAAAGTTATGCATTGATAGACATGATTAACACCAAACTTGTGAGCTCTGAGAAATGTGCTGCTTGCACCATGATGTGCCACAGACAGATGAGTCAGCAGCAGAAAAGCTGCACCTGCTAGCAGAGGACAAGAGTGGGGATACAACATATTTCATGGGCTATTTGTCTTCCTGATGCCCCAACAGCAGGAGACGTTCCAGCCCTGGGATGTCTTGAAGAAGAAAATGAAAGGCATCCAGCAGCAATGTTGCCTAATATCTATGAAGTATGAAGTCAACAAGATGAAGAAGCAACACATCATGCCAAAGGATGTCACTTTTGGCTCTTAAAGGACCTTAGAGGCCAAGAAAAAATAGGGTTTGGGCCTCAAGTAGAACCCAGGAAGCATAAGGAGGACTCAGTAGCTGATAACCTTTCCTTGCATGTCACACTTGGATCACCTTGGCCAGCCCACCTGGATACACATCCCTCTGAGGACCATAGACTGGTTTGGGTTGGAAGGGACCTTCAAGATCATCTCATTCCATTCCAACTCCTGCCATGGGCAGAAACACCTTCCACTAGCCCAGGTTTCTCCAAGCCCCATCCAGCCTGGCCTGGAACACTTCCAGGGATGGGACAGTCACAGCTTCTCTCGGCAACCTGTGCCAGTGCCTCACCACCCTCACAGGGAA